GAGAGGAGAAGGAGGAGGAGGAGGAGGAGGAGGAGGAGAAGGAGAAGGAGAAGGAGAAGGAGAAGGAGAAGGAGAAGGAGAAGAAAAGAAGGAGATGGGATTTATACCCTGGCCCTTCACTCAGAGTAATTTACAATCTCCTTTCCCTTCGGTCGTTATAGTGTTTTTTAAAGTTACAAAGTTACACAATTGCCCTAAAAATTCAAGTATTTTAATCAAGGATTGTCCTTTATACTTGCAAGAAATGCCCTTTATACTAGGTTGTGGTGATTTTACCTTTTATTCTTTCCCCCGATCCCCTTTTTTATTTTGTATTCTCTCAAAAGTTCAAAATAAAAAAAATATTATTAACCCCCCCTCCCTTCCCCTCCCCACAACAGACACCCTGTGAGGCAGGTGGGGCTGAGAGAGCTCTGAGAGAAACTGCTCTTGAGAGAACAGCTCTGAGACAACTTGTGACTGATCCAAGGTCATGCCAGCAGCCGCATGTGGCGGAGTGGGGAATCCAACCCGGTTCTCCCAGATTAGAGTCTGCACTTTTAACCACTACACCAAACTGGCTGTGAGATTGTGATGGATTTCCAGACTTCGAATGATCTACCCCACCTGCTTTCAATCAGTTCCAATGATCTGGGTCTTGAAAGGAGTTAGCGCTCAAAGGACAGGGCGGATGTGAGGAACTTGCAAAAAGCAGATAACATTATTCTCAGGGGAGAACTGCCTGCCCAAACGTAATCACTTGCAGGGGTCGCCATAAGTCTTGGACGGGGGACCACCAAGGAAGACTCTGCAGACGAAGGCAATGGCAAACCATCTCTGCTTCTCCCTCCCCTTAAAAGCCCCTTGCTGGGGTCACCAAAAGTCTTGGATGGGAGACCCCCAAGCAAGACTCTGCAGAGGAAGGCAATGGCCAACCACCTCTGCTTCTCCCTTGCCTCGAAAGCCCCTTGCTGGGGTCACCAAAAGTCTTGGATGGGAGACCCCCAAGCAAGACTCTGCAGAGGAAGGCAATGGCCAACCACCTCTGCTTCTCCCTTGCCTCGAAAGCCCCTTGCTGGGGTCACCAAAAGTCTTGGATGGGAGACCCCCAAGCAAGACTCTGCAGAGGAAGGCAATGGCCAACCACCTCTGCTTCTCCCTTGCCTCGAAAGCCCCTTGCTGGGGTCACCAAAAGTCTTGGATGGGAGACCCCCAAGCAAGACTCTGCAGAGGAAGGCAATGGCCAACCACCTCTGCTTCTCCCTTGCCTCGAAAGCCCCTTGCTGGGGTCACCATAAGTCTTGGATGGGGGACCACCAAGGAAGACTCTGCAGAGGAAGGTAATGGCCAACCACCTCTGCTTCTCCCTCGCCTTGAAAGTTCCTTGCTGGGGTCACCAAAAGTCTTGGATGGGAGACCGCCAAGCAAGACTCAGCAGAGGAAGGCGATGGCCAACCACCTCTGCTTCTCCCTTGCCTCGAAAGCCCCTTGCTGGGGTCACCAAAAGTCTTGGATGGGAGACCACCAAGCAAGACTCTGCAGAGGAAGGCAATGGCCAACCACCTCTGCTTCTCCCTCACCTTGAAAGCCCCTTGCTGGGGTCACCATAAGTCTTGGATGGGAGACCACCAAGGAAGTCCAGAGTCACCACAGAGAGGCAGGCAATGAAAACCATAGGGGGTCAGCATGAGTCAACTGCAACCTGGCGCCGTTTCCCACCGCCCGCAAGAGCACAACGATGCTCTCGACTTCGCATAGAGGAAAGGAGCAGTCCTGGAAACGTGTTCTGCCTGCAACTCTGGTTCTTTTCAGCTGGCGGCCTTTCATCCATCTGACAATGTGGCCGCGAAAGGGAATACCGTAAATAGGTCTGTGGTATAACGGAACGGTTCAAGAGGATGCTTGTTAATCAAAGGAACAGAACTGTTGTCTGTTCCAATGTTCATTGTATGTTTCCTCCTCCTTGGATTGCCTCACCTTCTACCTTTATGACTCCATTTTCTGCATTGTTTATGAGACGCCACTTCTGATATCTCCCACACACACCCCCTTTGCATTGTCTTCCTACCTTTTGTGATCCGCATCCTGTTGCATCACCTATGAGTGGCCTTGTGCAATAGGATTGCATGTGTGTAAGGTGCGACCACAGCGGACTCATGGTGACCCTGTAGGGCAGTGGTGGCAAATCTATGGCACGGGTGCCAGAGGTGGCACTCAGAGCCCTCTCTGTGGGCACGTGCGCCATCGCCCCAGCCAGGCCCAGACCATCATTAAAGTGTCGAATTCTCTGCCAAATAATTTTAAGTAAATGAAAGCATCTGGGATTGCTTCCCTTACTTTGTTTGGATCCTCTTAACTTAATGTAGGAGTGGTTTTATCTAAAGTAAAACCTCAGTATTCAGGTTAG